ACAGCATAGAGTTACAGGCAAGCAGCAGTAGGTATCTGTAACATGCACAGGCAAAGCTTCGCTCCCTTCAAATTAGGGCTGTCTAAAGGGTTATAGCGTAACACTGCTACGAGTAGTTTGCTCAGCTAATGACCAGTGTGGAGTGGCACTGGGATAGCCAAAGGCACTTGTAGTCACTATAAGCTACATAACTCTATCATATCACGAATCTTCACAGTGGGAAGAACTCACATAACAAGAAACCACATAAAAATGAACTGGACATTGTCCTTTTGCCTACATGCTTGGGCACATAATCATGAAAGCTCTGCCAGGAGGAGGACCATTACTACTCACCAGCAAGAGAGAGACAGGAGAGTAAAGCTAGATTTGCAGCTCTCAGCTTGTCTTTCCAGGTGCTGACAGTTAGAAACCAGCTAATTTCTGCATTTTATACTGACAACAACAAACTCATGCTTGGCAAAAAGAGGTGCACATTTACAGCAGCTGGTGGAGCTGGGTACACTCTTGATGGTGGTTAGTTTGGCCTGCTACTAAGTACACTGTGATCAGGAATGATGTGCTCAGCGAATGAGTCGGATATTCAAGTCACTGAGGGCTGAATACGGCCCCTTTCACAGAAGCTCAGACAACAGCTTTGCATGTTGCCTTTCTTTTAAGGCAGAGAGACAATGCAGAGCAGACAGCTGAGGACAAATGGCAGAGCCTGCAGGCAGCACTTTCCCTGGACACCAGCACTGTCCTTCTCCTGCCCCAGCCAAGACACCCAGCCTGGGCTCTGGGCAGCAGCTAATTGGAGACAGGAGTAAGGGCAATAGGAATAGATTCCATTCCCGCTGGCATTATCACTTTCAGGTCCCTAGTCCTGTCCTTCAGGAAACAGAAGGAAAGGAATGTCTGAGGACATAGCAAGATAAGGAACCTTCAGTGGAAAAGCCCTGGATAGCTGAACCCAAACACCATCTGCCTTCTGCTAACCCTAATCTGCTGAAAGGCTGGAATACCCTGTTCAATCATGAATCAGGTTTAAAGTCCCATGGTAATGTCATTGTTATTCTCTTTTCAATTCATGAGGCTTCTGGAGTAACTTCAGTAAAACCCCTCTGGCTTTAGCCCTGGATGTAGTTACAGAGATGCCTCTGTGAAACATGAAATGTATTTTGCTCAGAAATCATTCTCATTGCCCCCCACGAAGTAGGGCATGTCTTTGCCTCCCTCCCTGCAAAACTTAGCAATGCTCACTCACAAAAATGCTGACAAAGCTCACAATTAAATTATATGAGGCAGGAATTTCCCAGGCAGCAATAAAGCAGGGACAGGGGAGAGTCTCTCCTATTACATCTCCCAGTTTCTTCCAGGCTGGAAGCACTGCATGTAAAAGCTGTGTATTTTGGGGTTCTGTGAGGGGTGAGGCTATCAATAAAAATTTGGGTCAGCTTCTCCCTCCTTCCAAGGAAGCATAAAAATGGAGTTGAGGGTTTGTTGTATTTTCATCTCACGTTCTGAAACAAAATGGCAACAGTAACCCTGCCCTTCCCTCTTATACTAGCCCCTTTAAGGAACTGTCCCTTCAAGGAACAGCAAAGCTAAGCCACCCTGGGCTGTCAGTTCAGCATTTGCTTTATTTTGTCTCAGAACTTTAGATGGCCCCTCTCAGAACACAGCCATACACATCTGCAAAAAACACTTTTCATTTTCAGTCTCAGTGTTAAAATACGTGTTGAGCTTGCCAGCTAAAGATAACCTGTGAGTGAGCCTGTGCTAATTACGGTAAGGGAAATTAAGGAGGACAAAACATGAGCAGGGTAATGGGATGTGCTAGCACCATCCCCAGGGTGTGATCCAAAGGAAGGCTCCAGGCGATGCTCATCTGTTTGTGAGGGACAAGTGGCCATTGAGGCCTCCTTTGAAGTTAGGTCCATGTGAGGGTTTGCCTGTAGCCTGATCTACTGTTTAGCGCAAGCAGGTTTGCTGCACGGGGGGCAGCAATGTGATGCTTTTGTAATGTTAAGTTTGCGTGGAAATAAACGAGCATAAGCTTGAGCTGTTTTTCACACAGCAAGAATAGCCTTCCAACATCAGGTTTCCTTGAAGGACCAGAGAGGAAGGGCTCTGAATTGAAAAAAAAAAAAAAACAAAAAAAACAAAAAAAACAAAAACAAAAACAAAAAACCCACCAAAAAAACCCCTTGAATTTTCGAAGGAGGTGCCCATCATGCTGCTAACAGGGGAAGCACGACTGCCTGGCGAGTCACCGGACTTTGCAAAGGAGGGTGCGTGGGGAGCTTGCAGACCGTGGGGCCGCAGGGCTGTGTCCTCCCACCGGGCACCCTCATAACACATTGCAGTGAGAGCGGTGAGATGAGCTGGCTAGGACGAGCCAGGGGGAGGACACGGCAGAAGCGTGTTCACCGCGACTCAGGCTTCTTGCTAAAGAAGCGCTCGGGGGCTGAGCGTCCTCCTCACCGAGCATCTCCTCCCGCAAGCAAGCCGGCTCCGACAGCAGGCAGCCCACTGACCGGGCTGGGGAGGCAGCCGTCCCCGGCAGCCTCCGTGCTCGCTCCGGCTGTGATTCAGCGGAGTAGAAGTGGGTGTCAGCAGAGAGCTAGGCAAGCACAGGGTTTTACCTCATCCTAGAGTAGTAGTCAAAATAGGTCAAATGAATCACACCCTAAAAATGCCTGTTTCTCTCTGTTGGCTGTCAAGGGAAACGAGGGTGACTAGCTCAGCTGTAGACTCCTACACTGCACAGATCAAGGGCAGAATTCAGTTAAATTTAGGCATCTAAATGATGTGAGCCTGGTATGTAACCTCTTATTATGGCCAGTTGGTGGCTGGTTGCTGCAGCCAGTGTAGCTGGGAAGAGTACAGATTACCCTGGAACTTACATCCACCGAGTCTCTGGACTGCCTGTGCCCTCACCTCCGCTCGCTGGATGGCTCTGTGTTAACTACAATCCGTGAAGGTGACACAGGTGAAAACATAGATGTTTAGATGTTTATAGCAGGTATTCAAAGGCTAGAAAACACCTCAGTTGTAATAAAAGAGATAAAAGCATTTACATACTTTTTTCAGTGTGTTACGGCAATGAAATCTGGAAACTGCTACAGAAAAATTTTGACAACCTAGAATTGTAGAGGGGTGCAGGAGAAGGGGAAGGAGGGACCACAAGCAGTCCTCTCCAAGGATATGCCCACAGCTCTAGAGCCCTGTTGCACTCTGCAACAGACACTCATTTTGTCCCTCAAACACAACACTGACAGTGCTCTGGGCCAGGCTTCTGAATGTAAGGCTGAGTTCCATTTGCCTTAAACCTTAATGTGGTCTGACAGGTGACTTAAGCATCCTACTCCAAACACTGTGTCCGGGGACCACACTTAAATCAGCTGATATCACACGCTTAGGTCACTTATGTGCACCAAAACAGGAATGCTACTGTAGTCCCTTCCCTTCAGGTACCCCCTTACATGTTGTTGCTACAAGTACTGGAGAGAACTGCACAGCAAAGCTGATTTGGCTGTACAACAAGAGTTTGCCTGTTATGGACAGATTTATTTTTCAGCTCTACCAGTCCCATAGCCAGATTTACCCAATGGCCACACAAACTCTCACTTTGGACAAGGGATGTTTTTCTCAACAGCAGCATCACCTTAAGCACATGTTGGGTTCCTGCCTCAACTCACTTGACCCGACATTCCTAAGTTTCCATTGCATTTTTGAAAAGCAGGAAGCTGCCGCCCACCACCACCATACTTCATTCAAAGCCTGATGTGAAACACATCAAAAAGCAATAGGAATTTTTCTCCTGGTACTGGTGGGCTTTAGCTACAGGCTGCACTCCTTCTAAGGTATCCCACACTTACACTTCTCCAGCTTCTGTGAGCATATTTGGTTTGAAAAAATGTCTGGCCAGGACCTGTACTGCATTTGATAATTTAAATACACAGACTTACCCCAGAGCTACTGGATTGTTTGAATAGGTTCAAGCAAAATTTCTGCAGTCTTAACATGACCACTGGTTTGCTTAGGTACTAAAATAAAAAAAAGCTTTTTAAAGAAATGTGTGTTTATTAAAAGGGGGAGGAGGGAGAAGAATGTGTGGTTAAGGCACATGATTAGGATTACAGAAATAATGTTTTTCGACTTGTCACTTAAAATCTCTTTGCCTGCTTCCCTATTTGTAAAATGCAGTAATTAATGCTTGTCCACATTTGTTAAGCACTCTTTCAACCCTAGATCAGGAGTGCCCTCTGAGCATTAAGTATTATTACATCTGGCTACCCTGAGCTGCGACATTCAACAAGTTCTGCTGTTCATTTCAAATAGGCAAACAATTTAACATCATTTCATTACTGATTCATTCAGGAGTTAATCCTAGTTTCTTTTAAGACAAATCTTACCTACTTTTTATTTCTGGTTTACTCCAAAGAGTTGGCACTGAGAACGTACTTTGATTTGTCCATCCTCTACTACGATATTGTTCTGTTTCCCCTGCCTAACAATTATAAAACATTTCACAGGAGAACAAATAAAAATATGGGTATGCCTTTTAGTTTCATGTTCTTTTTTTATGAATGAGTGGAACATCTAGAGAAAGTTTTCCCGGCCAGACAACATTTTGCAGCAGTTTCACGGCCAGCTTAGAGCCATATAGATAAGAAGGGCCATTAAGAGGAGACACTCCTGTCCCTTCACCCTCAAGTAGCCACCGCCATGCCTGAAGCCATGCCTGAAGCTGGCAGGTCCTAAAGTGATTCTGTGATTGTGATCAAACTGGGAAACCCCATTCTTGCCTTTTTTTAACCAATCCCACAGTTCAAGCAGAAAACTGATCACTCAGCTTCTCCACTCCTCACATTTCCTACCCATAACCTTCGGTAACATTCTCATGCACATGGGTGTTTTTAGTAAGTTTTTCATAAGCAGCAAGAAAAGCTATCTGAGATGAAAACACGTAAGGAAAAAAGTGGTTTGGATTTAGTTCACAGACCTGAGCTAAAGTGAGTATGGAAGATATAAAAATAGACTTATGCTTAATTGTACACTGTACCTTTAGGATTAAATCCTCTAGGTATCAACCCGAAAGGATCCACCTCAGGGACCTCATTTTCTTCATCATTGGAGTTGTTTGGTGGGAGGGCTCTTCTCCCATTCAGAGGAGGTTTCTTCTCCTCTCTGGTACTCGTTGTTTCAGACATCCTGTTTTAAGAATGTTGTAATACCATGAAAGAAAGAAACAGTGCAAGGAAAAAGCAAATATGAACCAGCAGGGCACATGTAAGACGGGAGAAACCAAAAGTAGTGTGGGGTGCCAGTGAGCTACACATTTTTAGACTCACATAAATAAAACCTGAGAGGCAAGAAACATCAGTCTAATGATGGAGTACAACTCTCTAAGGACTGGAAGGCATTTTGTGTTTGTGAAAACACATGAATAAGAGAAGAAGGGCTGGCGGGAGAAGGAGAGGGAAGTCTAACACAGAAGAATTTGCCTAGGAGAAGCAGGGCACTAAAAACGTTAGGAAGTTTCAGGTAAAAGAAATGGAAAATCATTCAGTCTCCCACTCTCCATAACAGCATTATTGAATCCAAACCAGCAAATTATATTTCCAGAAAGTGCATCACACACTACCTTTGCCTAATAAAAATGACATTATAAGTTATACTGCAATCAAGCCAAATACTACAGCCTACAACAGTCTGTGGATGATCAGTGAAGAATTGTATTTTTGTCCCTATGCACACAAACACCCAATATCTAATGGGCTAACTCCTGCACCCAGACAATCTACTTTTGAGAAAAACAGAGGTGCGTTGGGGG